GGGCGGCTCGCGGGGAGCCCGCGCCACCGCTGTCCTCCATGGAAGGGGGACGGGAGCCAGGGAGCAGCCACTGGCCCCAGGGTGGAAGATGCAGGGCCGAAGCCCCCAGCTGAGCATGGAGCTGAACAGTGAGTGTGCGGCTAAAAGGGGGGACGGGAATGAGCAGGAGGGGACGTGGCCTTGGCAGTGGGCATCGTGCCCACGCAGCCAGAGCATCCCCCACGTGGACAGCCCAGGAGGTGAGTCCCGCAGGTGGTGGTGCTGGTTTGGTTGGACATGGCCACTACTGGCACACAAGGGCAGCTGAGCATCTTTCCATGCGCAGCCTTGGGGAATGGGCTGTGCCAAGGACCTCTGGGGAAAAGTGCCAAGGTGGGCAGATGCCTTTGGAGAGGAGGTGCCTGCTGCCAGGATGGGCAGACATCAGGCACAGCAGCCGCGTGGCTGAGAGGTGCCCGGGGCAGCCACGTGCTGGCAGGCCAGTCCTCGGCCGGAGCAGATGTAAGCTTCAGGATGCTGCAGCCAGGGATTCCCCAAAGCGCACGTGACGGCCAGAGCTGCTCCTGGCACAGACTGGGAGGGCTGGCCCTGCTCTGCACAGGGAGCGTGGCTCTGCTCCCTGTCTGCAGTGCAGCCTGGAGCTGAGCCCAAGAACCTGGCACAGACGCAGCTGTGCAGCCCCTCAGCATGCACCACCAGCACAGATAGCCCAGCTCTCCCCAGAGACCACCAGGCCCCTGTGCTGACTGACCACAGGGCACCAGGCCCTCCTCAGCACCCTCAAACCCCTCTGTTCCCCTACCAAGGCCCCTAGTGGGCTAGGGCGAGAGGTTGCTGTCACAGGCACAGCCCTGGGTTGGAGCTGCCCAGGCTTACCCTGTCTCCCCCAGGTCTGCTCCTCCTCACATCCTTCCTCTTGCACCTGGAAGAGGGCCATGCCAGTCCTACACGGCTGGTGTGTGACAACAGACTCATCCAGAAGTACATCGGGGAGGCCAAGGAGATGGAAAAGAGAGCGGTGAGTATATGGTCCCTTTCAAAACCCAAGGCCAGAGAGGGGCACAACTCCTGGTATCTCATCTCACCATCTCCTTTCCCCCTAGGGCCAGTGCCAGGCACTGCCCACACTCAGCTGCCCTATGGTGCTGCCCTTGGTGGACTTCAGTCTTCAGCAGTGGAAATCCAAATCGGTGAGAGGGGCTAGGAGGATGGTGCTGGCACGCATGGGGGTGGAGGAGGAACCCCCCATGGTAACCACAGGCACCAGAAATGCTGAACAAGATGCCTGTGGGCATACCAGCTGGCACAGGGAGGTGGAGGACACTATCCAGACCTAGGGTGGGCAGAGGAATAAATTGGGGTTCAGCCTCCTCATTGCCTGCTCCTCTAGAACGAGACCAAGAGGCGGGAGATCCTCTGTGACCTGGCACTGCTGGTGGGAGCTGTGACGGGAGCCCAGGGCCAGGTAACCCAGGAGTGTGGGGCCAGGCAGCTGAGCCAGCTGTACCGACACGCCAACTCCTTCCTGCTGCTCCTGCAGACCTTCTGCTGGGAGGTGAGCCCTTCCCCATACCACCCAGGCAACCCCGGTGCCGGCTGTGCTGGGCTGGGTACAACTTTGTCAGCCCCTGCCCCTCTCTTGCCCTCAGGCAGGGCCCTGGGAGCCAGGCTGCTCCCCACGTTCCATGGAGCAGACCCAGATCACGGGGATCTTCCTCACCTACCGGCTGCTGGTGCAGGGCAAACTGCGCTTCTTCTTCCATGACCTGGCCAAGGACTTGTGCCAGTAAGATCAGGGGGGTGGCAGAGACCACCTGTGCAGGGCCCGGTGAGGCTGCACACCGGGTTCATCACCCCCCATCCCAGGGCAGAGCAATCCTGCCAGGCACCTAGCTGGGCTGTGGGTACCCAGGAAGATGCCCGAAGGAAAGGGTTGGCTCCTCAACCTTCAGCGACCGAGCGGCCCATGGAAGCAGGGAGCAGCAACACTCCTGTGCCAGCAGGCACAGGCACTTCTACTGTGAATGCTTTACAATTAAAAGAGCTATTTTTCTAAAGCGTTGTTTTGGCTCCTCCTTTTCCCCTGCAGCCCTGGCAGGGGGACAGCAAGAGGCAGCCCCTCGGGGTCTCTCCCAATGCCCAGCTCCCTCCTGTGGCAGCTGCCCGCTCTGCAGGGCAGAGGGACCCTTGGGCACCAGGTCCCCCATTCCTTGCCCCCCTGCACCCACCTGCCTGCCCCCCAGCCTCCTTGTGTCCAGCGGGGCAGCAGAGAAAACCTCAAGGTAGGTTTGGGCTGCCCATCATTTTGGAAAGTGGTGTGAACCCCTTTGTCCCCCCTGCAGGTGTACCCACTCCCTGTCAGCCTCATCTCTCAGCCAGCAGAGCCACATCTAGAAAACAACAATTTAATCAAAAACAGGCCCAGCTGGCCTAAAGGTAGATCCAAGGAAGTGGTTCCCAGGCCCAAGGCAGGCCAGCAGCTGTCCCAGTCCAGCTGTCTCAGCCCAGTGCCGGGGATGTGCCTGCTTTTGAAGGCAGACGTGGGAGGAGATGCACAACATGGTCTCCACTCAGCTGTCAGGCTCCTCTCTCCATGCAGGAAGCAGCTGTGAATCCCAGCAGGAGTCAGAAGAAGCTGGGATGAGGAAGGAGACTGCCCCTTTCTCTCCCTTCTCCAGAAGAGCTGGGCAGGAGGGGTGCTGAGGCAGGATCTGGGGTCACAGGGCTGTCTGCTCACCAGGAGAATGTCTCTGAGCAGCCCCAGGAGGCAGGTCTCCTAGAAGGCCAGCTTCTTCATCAGCAAGTAAACCCGAGAATCCACTTCAAACCCGTGCAGGTTGTTGGCATCTCCCTGCAGCCGCATGAGCAGCCCCCCATAGGACACGTAGGCAGAGCTGGGGTGGGAGAAAAGGAACAGTGAGAGCTGGGAATCCCACAGGAGAGTCAGTACCTAGTACCTCCCCCATGCCAATCTCCCCCCAGCAAGCACTCACAGGCGTGTGGCTGCTTCAGTGGAGGTCTCATCCCCCTCAATCCGGTACACCTTGCCGTACATCACGTACTCAAACTGGTCTGCCCTGCGACGACACAGCAGGGTCAGAGCAGAGGCACAGCTATGTGCTCCCTCACAGGAGCATCCTCTGGGACAGAGCACCTCACAGCCCCTCAGCACTTCTCCCTCGCCCACCCCTGCCCAGGCCCCCGTACCTGGAGGGCCGGTCGTCCGTGGGGTTATACTCGCCATCATCCAGGGTGCCGTCTTCATACAGGGTGCTGGCGATAACCAGCCGGAACTTGTCCCCTGGGAGGAGAGGGCAGAGGAGCAGGGAGAGGCTTGTGAGAAACAAGAGAGAGATCACACTGGATCATCTGTTTCCCTGATCCCCACAGACATTGGTCACCACCATGAAAACCAGAGGCACCAGGAGACCACTGCCAGTGTCTGCATGAGCCACATGTGAGACTCAGCAGCACCAGTTCCAGCTCTTCTGTGCTTCACTGAGGCAAGACTCTCTTTTCCACCTGCTTGGTATATTTAGCCACAGAAACTAATTTCAAAAAGTCTCTCTTAAAGCTTGGTTGCCACCAGCTGAGGCAGTTTCCCTAGACAACATCTCTGGGGAAAAAGCTGCAGATGAACCCAAACAGATACAGTGAGGTGACCCAGAATCCAGCTCAGCCCCAGCACACTGCAAACATCCCGCATCTCCTGTGATATGGGGACAGCACAGGGCCCCGTGCAAGTCTGAGAGAGCTCATTCCTTCAGTGTCTCCCCGCTGGGCATTTGCCTCTAACCTCACTCCAACCTGGCACACTCTGGACTAGCAGCCCAATGGCTTACCGAGGTCCACTGGGTAGATCTGGATGTTCACATCCAGGATGAGGTCCATCTTGAAAGACTCACTCTCGCAGTGCAGGCGGGACACTGGGGAGAGCAGCAGAGTCAGGGGTACGGGCAGAGCAGATCCCAGGGGCTGGGCAGGGCAGGGTGTCAGGGCCAGGCCACTCTTCTCCCTCCGTTTGCACTCGAGATACACGGGAGGAAGGAGGTTTTACAGCACTCGGGGACGGAGGGAGCGGACCGAGGTGTGTGCCCAGGCCGGGAGAGGGGCAGAACAGGGGGCGGGAGAACGGACCGTGCCGGGGCCGCACGGAGGGGCCGAGCGGGGAAAGAGCACGAGGAGGTCGGTGCCAGACGGTGGCAAAGGGACGGGGCAGAGGGGCTGCTACCGGCGGGCAGGTCTGAGAAGGGACAGGGACCCCCGGGAGG